GTCTGGATCCTTCTTCAGAAAAGGATCTGAAGTTTCTGAAGAAGGTTCCAGACCCAAAACGTTAGCTTTCCTGCTCCTCTGATGCTGCTTGGCCTGCTGTGTTCATCCAGCTCTACACCTTGTTATCTAATAAAGGATACAATATGCTCAGTTTTATTAATAGGGACTGTTTCTGGGCACTGCAGTTTAGGAAAGATGTGAGGCTTTATAGAGGGTGCAGAAGATTCACGAGAATGATTCCATGGTTGAAGAACTTCAGATATGTGGATAGATTGATGAGATTTGGACTGTCTTCCTTGGAGAAGAGAAGGCTGAGAGGTTTAATCACAGGGTTCAAAACCTTTGGGAGCAGCTGGAGAAGTTGCGCTCGAGAGCTGTGTAACTCCATCCCTGGGTGACAAGTGAGAGAAAAGACCTTCCTTCCCTCCCATATTTAGGAAAGAATGTGTGAGAAGCTGTTCCTCCAATCATAGAGTCTGTCGCTTGAGGAGCAGCAAGACCGTGAGAGAGGGAACCTGTGATTGGAGGAGCAGCAATGGAAGGAGAATGGGGACCTGTGATTGGAGGAATGCAGTTACAATGCTAATAGAGATTTCTAGGATTTTGACCCAGCAACACTGAAGGAAGAGTGATATATTTCCAAGTCAAGCACATTTTTCTTTGGTGAGAAATGGCCAAAGTTATTTCACTTAAAGCAGTGGTTTTCAGAAACAGAATCTGAAATTTAATTGAAAACTACTTGCACTGTACAATCAATTAAGATAGTGTATATTTTTGCACAAGTTAACATTTTTTAAAATATCTGAATAATGATTTTAAAAAAACTACAGCTCTTGGGAACTGAACTGGTATATAAATACAGCAAGTAAAATGTCCCTCACTGCTTTAAGTCCTCACCTGATTGAGGGCGCTGATGAGAGTGACAGAGTATGGGATCACCTCACTGGGATTGCCCTGTTGAACCAGGCTCCACAGCTCTGATTGGCTCTTGTGTTTCAACCAATCAATGACACTGTATGATTCCGGGAGGAAATCTGGCATTAACACCATGAGAGTTCTGTCAGATGGGCAAGAGTGAGATGGTTACATAGAAACATAGGAACACATAGGTATTAGGAGCAATTTAGACAATTCAGCCTTTTGAGCCTGCTCTATTATTTAACATGATCATGCTTGATCTTATCCTGGTCTCATCTCCACTTTCCTGTCTGCTCCCCATTGCCCTTTATCCTGCTTTTTATCAGAAACATATCTATTTCCTTCTTGAATCTGTTGATTGATTCTGCCTCCACTGCAATCTTGGGCAGTGAGTTCCACAGATTCACAACCCTCTGAGAGAAGTAGTTTCTCCTCTTAGTTTGAATTTCTCACTCTATATCTTTGACCTCTTATTCGAGACTGTCCCACAAGGGGTCAGGGGGAATGGAACAATCTGTTCAATGTCCACCTTATCAATCCCTTTATTGTTTTATATGTACTTCAATGAGATTCCCCTGCATTCTTCTGAACTCGCGCGAGTGCAAACCCAAGCCCAAGCTATTCAACTGTTCCTTGTACGACAGCCCTTTCATCCCCGGAATCAACTGAACTGCTTCCAATGCCATCCCATCCTTCCTCAAGTAAGGAGAATATTGGACACAATATTCCAGGTATGGTCTCACCAATGACTTAAATAATTGTAACAACATTATTTTATAATCCAGTCCTTTTGAAATAAATGATCGGATTCCATTTGCCCTTCTTATTATACCCACTTTCTGTGATTCATGCACAAAGATGCATTGATCCCTCTGAATCTGCTTTCATTTAAATCATAATTTGCCCTTATATCTTTTCAGCCAAAATAGACAACCTCGCACTTATCTACATTAATCTCCATCTGCCAGATTCTGGCCCATTGTCCTAGCCGATCAATATTCATCTGTAAACTCTATCTCCTCGTTTCTGCCTGCTTTCACACCTATTTTAGTATCATTCGTGAATTTTGTTATGTTACACTCTGTCCCCGCTCACAAATAATTTATATAAGTTGTAATAGTTGAGGTCCAAGAATTGAACTCTCCGAAATCCCAGGATAACAAGGTGTAGAGCTGGATGAACACAGCAGGCCAAGCAGCACCAGAGGAGCAGGAAAGCTGACGTTTCGGGTCGAGACCCTTCTTCAGAAATGGGGGAGGGGAAGGGGATTCTGAAATAAATAGGGAGAGAGGGGGAGGCGGATATAAGATGGATAAAGGAGAAGATAGGTGGAGAGGAGACAGACAGGTCAAAGAGGCGGGGTTGGAGCCAGTAAAGGTGAATGTAGGTGGGGAGTTAGGGAGGGGATAGGGTGGTCCAGGGAGGACGGACAGATCAAGGAGGCGGGATGAGGTTAGTGGGTAGGAGATGGGGGTGGGGCTTGAGGTGGGAGGAATGGTTAGGGAGGTGGGCACGAGCTGGGCTGGTTTTGGAATGCGGTCGGGGAGGGGAGATTTTGAAGCTTATGAAGTCCACATTAATACCCTTGGACTGCAGGGTTCCCAAGCGAAATATGAGATACTGCTCCTGCAGCTTTCGGATGGCATCATTGTGGCAATGCAGGAGGTCCAGGATGGACATATCGTCCAAGGAGTGGGAGGGAGAGTTGAAATGGTTCGCGACTGGGAGGTGCAGTTGTTTGTTGCGAACCGAGCGTAGGTGTTCCGCAAAGCAGTCCCCAAGCCTCCGCTTGGTTTCCCTGATGTAGAGGAGGCCACAACGAGAACAGCAGATACAGTATACCAGATTAGCAGATGTGCTGGTCTTCTTAGGGCCTGGGATGGGGGTGACGGGGGAGGTGTAGGGGCAAGTGTAGCACTTCCTGCGGTTGCAGGGAAAAGTTCCGTGTGTGGTGGGGCTGGAGGGGAGTGTGGAGCGGACAAGGGAGTCACGGAGAGAGTGGTCCCTCAGGAAAGCAGATAAGGGTGGGGAGGGAAAAATGTCTTTGGTAGTGGGGTCAGATTGCAGATGGCAGAAGTGTCAGAGGATGATGCGTTGGATTCGGAGGTTGGTGGGGTGGTACGTGAGGACGAGGGGGATTCTGTTTTGGTTGTTATTGCAGGGAGGGGGGTGTGAGGGATGAGTTGCGGAAAATTCGAGAGACACGGTCGAGGGCATTTTCGACCACTGTGGGGGGAAGTTGTGGTCCTTGAAAAACGAGGATATCTGGGATGTCCGGGAGTGGAATGCCTCATCTCGGGAGCAGATGCGGCGGAGGCGAAGGAATTGGGAATAGGGCATGGCCTTTTTGCAGGAAGGTGGGTGAGAAGAGGTGTATTCTAGGTAGCTGTGGGAATTGGTAGGCTTGAAATGGATATCGGTTTCCAGGTGGATGCCAGAGATGGAGACAGAGAAGTCCAGGAAGGTGAGAGAGGTATTAGAGATGGTCCAGGTGAACTTAAGGTTGGGGTGGAAGGTGTTGGTGAAGTGGATGAACTGTTCGAGCTCCTCATGGGAGCACGAGGCAGCACCGATACAGTCATCGATGTAACGGAGGAAGAGGTGGGGGATAGGGCCAGTGTAGCTTTGGAAGAGGGATTGTTCCAGGTATCCTACAAAGAGGCAGGCATAGCTTGGGCCCATGTGGGTACCCATGGCCACCCCCTTTGTCTGTAGGAAGTGGGAGGAATTGAAAGAGAAGTTGTTGAGGGTGAGGACGAGTTCAGCTAAGCAGATGAGGGTGTCAGTGGAGGGGGACTGGTCGGGCCTGCGGGACAGGAAGAAGCGGAGGGCCTTTAGGCCATCTGCATGGGGAATGCAGGTGTATAGGGACTGGACGTCCATGGTAAAGATGAGGTGTTGGGGACCAGGGAATTTGAAGTTTTGGAGGAGGTGGAGGGCGTGGGTGGTGTCACGGACGTAAGTAGGGAGTTCTTGGACCAAGGGGGAGAAAACAGAGTTGAGATAGGTGGAGATAAGTTCAGTGGGGCAGGAGCTGGCAGAGACAATGGGTCGACCAGAGCAGTCAGGTTTGTGGATTTTGGGAAGGAGATAGAAACGGGCGGTGCGGGGTTGGGGAATGATGAGGTTAGAGGCTGTGGGTGGGAGGTCACCAGAAGTGATGAGGTTGTGGATGGTTTGGGAGATGATGGTTTGGTGGTCGGGGGTGGGATCATGATCAAGGGGGCGGTAGGAGGTGTCAGAGAGCTGGCGACTGGCCTAGGCGATGTAGAGGTCAGCATACTACAGCATACTACAACTGCGCCTCCCTTGTCCATGGGTTTTATAGTGAGGTTGGGATTGGAGCGGAAGGAGCAGAGGGCTGCACGTTCTGTGGGGGAGAGGTTGGAGTGGGTGAGAGGGGTGGAGAGGTTGAGGCGATCGATGTCTCGACGGCAGTTAGAGATGAAGAGGTCGAGGGAAGGTAGGAAGCCTTGGGGTGGTGTCCAGGAGGAGGGGGTGTGTTGGAGGCGGGAGAAGGGGTCAGTAGAGGGAGGGTTAGGCTCACAGTTAAAGAAGTAAGTGCAGAGGCGGAGGCGGCGGAAAAACTGCTCTATGTCCAAGCGTGACCGGTATTTGTTGATGTGTGGCTGGAGGGGGACAAAGGTGAGCCCTTTACTGAGGACTGACTGTTCGTCCTCAGTAAGGGGGAGGTCTGGGGGAATGGTGAAGACCCAGCAGGGCTGGGTGTTGCTGTCTCCTCTGGAGCTGCTGGCTGTGGAGGCAGTGGGCGGAGTGACGTTGGTGGTGGGCGGAACGACGTAGGCCGGTAAATCTTGGACGTTGGTGGCAGCGGTGTCCTCGATGTCTGTGTTGTCGGCCTCGGAAACGGAGGCGGCGGCATCAGCAGCAGTGTCGATGGCGTTGGCTGTACCGGAAGTGGTGTACCAGGCGGCGGTGGATGTGACGTCATCCGTAGAAACCGTTGGTGCTCCGAAGGTGGCCACATGGCCAACAGCGGCGGGCACATGGTGGGGAAGGTCCTGGGTAGGGTGGCAGGCACCGGTAAGTTTAAAGTACTTTCGGTTTTTAGTGTCCAATAAAGCTGAGTAGAATTGTGAGTTCAGGTTGTGGATCTTACGAAGAATAAAAAACAGGAGAGGTCTTTGCAGGTCTGGGAGAGGGAGGCTCTGAGCTGGGGAAGGCTTAATTGTAGTATCTGGCAATGCTGGCACATTGCAGCGCGTGTGTATTTCAGGAGTCACAGGGACAAACGCTTCTGTAGGATATCAATGTTCTGAATGTAGCGGTCGTCGTGGTTGGGGCCAAATTGGGAAGGCCTGAATGTGGACTGTAGTCCATTGGGGATGATCTGGTTCCGTAGGCAGGTACTCAGAAAGGCAATGTGGCTGTAGTACCTGGTTTGCTTTAGGATGTGGTCGAGCAGTTTCAGGGCCGAAGAGATTACAAGAGGGTTGCAGTGTGAGAGGGATACACTGAGGTTTTTCCAGAGGGAGGAGGGTAACTTCTTTAAGGTGGGCATCCTTACAAGAGGCTTCGCAGTGGGGTTAAAATCGTTACAGAGATAGTAGGAACTGCTGATGCTGAAGAATCTGAGATAACAAGGTCTAAAGCTGGATGAACACAGCAGGCCAAGCAGCATCAGAGGAGCAGGAAAGCTGACGTTTCGGGTTGAGACCCTTCTTCAGAAATGGGGGAGGGGGAGGGGATTCTGAAATAAATAGGGAGAGAGGAGGAGGCGGATAGAAGATGGATAAAGGAGAAGATAGGTGGAGAGGAGACAGACAGGTCAAAGAGGCAGAGTTGGAGCCAGTAAAGGTGAATGTAGATCGGGAGTTAGGGAGGGGATAGGTCGGTCCAGGGAGGACGGACAGGTCAAGGAGGCGGGATGAGATTAGTAGGTAGGAGATGGGGGTGGGGCTTGAGGTGGGAGGAGGGGATAGGTGGGAGGAAGGACAGGTTAGGGAGGCGGGGACGAGCTGGGCTGGTTTTGGGATGCGGTCGGGGGAGGGGAGATTTTGAAGCTTGTGAAGTCCACATTGATACCCTTGGGCTGCAGGGTTCCCAACCCCATTAGTTACAGTTCACAATCCAGAGAAGAACCCATTTATCCCAACCCTCTGCTTTCTGTCAGTCAGCCAATCATCCATCCAAGCCAATATTCTACCCTCATCCCCCTTGTATCTCACCTTCTAGATCAGTGTTTTATGTGGCACCTTGTCAAATACCTTTTGGAAGTCTAGGTGTGCCACATCCACTGGATCCCCATAATCCACCTTGCTAGTTACATCCTCAAGGAATTCTAGCAAGGTTGTCAAGCATACCTTGCCCTTCATGAAACCGTGCTGATACTAACAAATTAAGCTTTGATTTTCCAAATGTTCAGTTTTCTCCTCCTCTAAGATTGACTCCAGCAACCTCCCCACTACATTGGGAAACTACTGTTTGGTTAGTTTGACCATTTTTTGCCAATCTCCTTTATTGAACAACGGTGTCATATTAGCATATTTCCAACCCACTTGTACCTATAGTTGGTCAGAAAAGATATTTTAATATCAGCAAATGTCATGTCTGATGTTGTGATTCTGCATCATTGGGATTCAAATGCAGTTACTACTTTGTGTTCGTTCATTGATTTCCCTTTAGCGAATCAATCCACTAGCCTACCTGCCTTCCACATGCATCCAAATCCACACCATGTAATTCACTCTTAACACCTTCCAACATTGCCCAATAACCCATCCAAGATGTAAAGAATGACTACTGGTCTATCATGAGGTTGTTTACTGACACCAAATGAGAATGGGACACTCAAAATCTGGCTTAAGGAGAATTAAAAGAGAAAAAGTCAGCACATTTATTCATCAATAGTGCATGCCACGAGTTGGAGATGGGAGTGAAGTTGGGATTTATGCTCAGCTGTGATGACCCTCATGGCCATATAGCTTGCTGAGAATTTATTTGCTTCACTGTGTGGGTCAGGCACTGCAGGGTAGAAATTGATGGTGGAAGTGTTACATGGTGAGGAACCAGTCTATTCAGGAGAAAAAAGCTGAAGGAAAGCTATTGTTTACAGATTCGTGATCTGGTTAAAAGAGGTTTGATGCTGGGCTGTCCTGCAAAATAAAAAGATGGATATTCAGCCAATTTAGAGGGAAATAAAGACTGACAGTTGGGGCTTGCAGGTGAGCACAGATATAATAATGTTGATCTTAATATGCTCATAGAAGTTCGGGTCACAGCAGGCAACACTGTCGGGAGCATGTCCACACTTAACGTAGAAACATAGAAAATGGCTGCAGGAGTAGGCCATTCAGCCCTTCGAGCCTGCACTACCATTCAATATGATCATGGATGATAATGTATCCCACTCCCACTTTCTCTGCAGACCCCTTGATCCCTTTAGTCACAAGGGCCACGTCCAGCTCCCTCTTGAAAATATTTAATGAGCTGGCCCCACAGTTTTTTGTGGTAAAGAATTCCACAGGTTCACAATTCTGTGAAGAAATTCTTCCTTGTCTCAGTCCGGAATGGCTTACCTCTTATTCTTAGACTGTGGCCCCTAGTTCCGGACTTCCCCAACATCAGGAATATTTTTCCTGCATCTAGCCTGTCCAGTCCCATCAGGATTTTTATATGTTTCTATGAGATCCCCACTCATTCTTCTAAATTCCAAAGAGCACAAGCCCAATCGATCCAGACTTTCTTTACACGTCAGTCCTGCCACCTCTGTTAATGTTGACAGTTACCTGTTACATGTGGTATCAAACTTACTTGTTGATAGCTAAGGTTCTAGCACCAAGCAGATCCTCTACCTGAACCAAGACGCGGACAGTGGAGGCTCTGCCACTGGTAGCTGCAGGCAGCAACACACTGGAGGAGGGCTTGATGCCCCAGTACAACAGAAACCTATCACAACTGGAGGAATCATAAGGGCAGGTGATCGCCATCAGTGAGTAAACCAGCTGATCCAGGCCACCATCCTCATCCCACCAGCCTGCAAATGACATGAGGAATGCTGAGTTAGTTTTACCAGACATCTCTCTTCCAGCAGAAACATCACTTTGAGTTGGAGAAAGAGTAGGGTGAGTTGAATCTCTTAAGTGCAGACAAGGACCACTGATCCCTCCAGTAAGGGGAAACATTTCTTTCGGTCTAGGCACAAATTGGCCACTGTTGCACACCACCTGACACGGAGTGTCACTAACCTGCAGAGATCACAAGGTTGGCTGGTATCACCCCCTCCTGGGATGGGCAGGGCCAGCAATAACACGCCTCATCAAGTAACAAAAAAGAATCAACTGGAAATGAATTCTGAAGGGTCTCTGGACTTGAAGCATTAACTCTGTTTTCTCTGCATACATGCTGCCAGACTTGCTGAGTTTCTCCAAAATTCTCTGTACTTGTTTAAGAAAAGCAGAAATCTAGAAGATAATGTCACCATAGTCCCAGAGGACCATACCAGTGCTCTCTCATTGCAGAAAGACAACTGGCGGTGGATTACCCTGAGGCTCATCAGGCCTCAGGCGAGGGGAGAGGGTGAGAAGGAGAGTCCTTCGTGACAATCTCAGCCAGTGCAGAAACTGAACTTAAATTGTTGGCGTTACTTTGCATCGCAAACAAGCAATCCAGCCAACTGAGCAATCTGGAGGGATGGAGGGAGGAAAAAAGTGAGTATTTTCATTTGATTACCTGTGCAGTTAAAGCTTAGCAGAGTCTCCAAAAGGTAGAACGTTTGGTCTGGCTGGATGGTGCACTCGCCTCCGCTTGGTGGGTAGTTAGGACTCAGAGTGATGCTGGAGAACCCTGCGGTTTCCTTTTCTGGATCAGTAATGCTCAAGGTGAAGGTGTAGTTGATCCCATCTTGGAGGACACCCTGTCGAACAACCAGGTTAGAATTGGAGTTCCCTGTCGAGGTGGTTTTATTGTCCAAAATCAAAGGGTAGGCATCTGAACTTTGAACTATCCACTTATACTACAAACAAAATGAAGAACAAGAAATGTAAATAAACAAGTTGCCCATCAAACAAGATGAAGAACATTTACTCTGCCAGATCAGTATCACGAGGTGTACAGAATCTCCTCATCTTTAACGTCTTCTAAAGAATATAATAGATCAGGCACCGAAGGATTTTTGTGGCACAGTGGTAAGACCCCTAACACTGAGCCAGAGCCCCATGTTCAAATCCCAACGGTTCCAGCAAATTACAATACAATATCTGAGTAGGTTGATTAGAAAATAAAATGGACACCAAGAGGATTCTTGGGGTGTTGTTGTAGTGTCTCCATGACCAAAACGTTAACTCTGATTGTTTCTTCACAGATGCTGCCAGACCTGCTGAGCTTTTCCAGCAACTTCTGTTTTTGTTCTGAGCCAGGAGGCATGGGTTCATGCCCCAACTGCTGTATGTGAAGTGTGTCATAACATCTCTGAACAGATTAATTACAAAACTTCGAAAATAAAACAAAGAACTGTAAATGCTGATGATCAGAAACAAAAACAGAAATTGCTGGAGAAACTCAGTAGATAACTCTGGCAGAGATAGTAGGAACTGCAGATGCTGGAGAATCCGAGACAACAAGGTGCAGGGCTGGATGAACACAGCAGGCCAAGCAGCATCATAGGGGCAGAGAGGCTGACGTTTCGGGCCTAGACCCTTCATCAGAAAAAGGTCTTAAGGTTGGGGTGGAAGGTGTTAGTGAAGTGTATGAACTGTTCGAGCTCCTCGTGGGAGCACGAGGCGGCGCCGATACAGTCATCAATGTAACGGAGGAAGAGGTGGGGTTTAGGGCCGGTGTAGGTACGGAAGAGGGATTGTTCCACGTAACCTACAAAGAGGCAGGCGTAGCTTGGGCCCATGCGGGTACCCATGGCTACCCCCTTTGTCTGTAGGAAGTGGGAGGAATTGAAAGAGAAGTTGTTGAGTGTGAGGACGAGTTCGGCTAAGCGGATGAGGGTGTCAGTGGAGGGGGACTGGATAACTCTGGCAGTTCTGATGAAGAGTCACTGTACTTGGCAAAAAAACAGAAGAAAACAATAAATGACTTGTGTTTATCCAAGTGTTTTTCACAACCTCACTGTTGTAAGTGGGGCTGAAAAGGTTTCCAGCTGGAGGAATGTGATAAGTAGCGCCCCCACCCCCCCACTTCACCGTGACGGTATTACATGGACGGATTAACGAAGAGATGGAGAAAGTCAGTGATGAGCCACATCCCACAAGCCAGTGAACACAGATAGCTGGGGTCACCACAGTCAGGGTATCGCAAAGCGCTTTAAAACCAATGAAATAATAGTCATGAGTATAGAAAATGTGATGGCCAATTTGTGTCCAGTCCTGCAAACAATGAGATAAAATTGGGTAATGTTAGCTTAAGGTTAGTATTGACCAGAACAGTAAGGAGATATTCACAGTGCAGTCTCATCTTGTACCGTGAAATTCGTGTTTAAATATCCTGTTAAGAAGACAGCATGAAGTCAGCCTGAATTACCATCCTTCACTGAGGGACTGCCTGTACTCATCTACAAAATATCATGACCTGGAATGAGACTGAAGTGGTGGAGGCAGAGACAGGCACTAAACACAGAGGGGTCTATGCTACATTACTAGGAGGGCACTTACGCTGGACTTGTTGCTGCAATTCTGACATCTTCCAGCCAATGTGACATGCGTGCTCCTGCTCACTCCATAGCTCCAGAGGACATGGCAGGAGATACATTCCAGCATTACACAAGGAATCTCCCCAGCTCGCACCAGAACCTGTGGCTCAAAACAATAGTTACTTTTAAACATCTCAGACATGGGTGAGAGTCAGGGATCACTAACATCACCATTTTCAATTTAATCTACAACACAAATCTGACAATTCCAGGCTGGGCCTAGAGAGAACAGGAAATGCTCTCTACGTCCCCACAGATTGCCCATCCTCTCCGTCCCTTCTTTAGTTCCCACCACGTTCACCTTAAGCACCAAGTCTGAAGAGCTGGTAGGATTTATTTTTTTAAAACATTTAAAATTGGAGAAATATCTCTTTGGATGGAAACAGGGAAGCTATTGGCTCTGGTGACAGAATCATGAACAAAGAGACACTCTTAAATTTGAGTTAAACCAATTCGGAACAAAACCTTCCTCACACTGAAGGTTGTGTAACACTCTCCCCAAAAACACAACAGATTTAGGGAGATAATGACATAGGGTTTTTAACTGCTGGAAAACCTACTTGGATAAAACTATGGGGTCTTGCACTGGTGGTTGCCTATCAAATCCTCTCTCATCCTGTTAAAAACCCCTAGGGAGTTAGAAAGGAAAAAAACCCTCCAAATTTCACAGTAAAAGCAAGTTTCAGAACCCACATCAGGTTTCCACATCTTAGTATCTGAACCGATTTTTAAATCCTAAACGGCTGAATTGTGTTCACTCTCCAAGGACTTGGAACCAGATTGATACCCATCCAAATCAAACCTCATTTTGGAAGATGTCCCATTGACCTACAGCTTTCAGCAATTTGATTTTGTCAACATGACACCTAGTGGACTGTTAGAATTCATCAAATTCTAGCTTTTGTTTTTCAGACCATTGATCACAAAGGCTGCTTTTTCCCTTTTGGCCTATTTAGTACATCATCTCTGCTTATTTTTATTGTTTCTTTTTGTGGGAGTGGCTTCAAAGTTACAATCTTTTTTATTATTCAGTCATGGGATATAGGTTTCACTGGCTGAACCAGCATTTATTGTCCTTGAACTGACTGGCTTCTTGGATCATTTCAGAGGGCAGTTAAAAGTCAACCATATTGCTGTGGGCATGGAGTCACATGTAGGCCAAACCAGGTAAGGATGGGAGCTTTCCTTCCCTAAAAGACATTAACTGGGTTTTTATGACAATTGCCTGTTCAATCATCTCACTAAAACTTGTGCTGCGTCTAAAGACCACAAAGAAAGTGAAAAGATACAGACATACTGCAGTTTAGGCATTCAGACTAGAAGATCTGGTGCTGAAGCTGCTGCTGGTATGGGGCAAACCTCTGAAAGGCAGGTTTAATGGCTCATACTGCATAGGGAGAAAAGACGGTTCATTATTTTATCAACAATCCAGCAGGCGAAAGAAGCAATGTTTCAGAGATAGTAGGAGCTGCAGATGCTGGAGAATCTGAGATAACAAGGTGTAGAGCTGGATGAACGCAGCAGGTTAAGCAGCATCAGAGGAGCAGGAAAGCTGGCGTTTCGGGCCTAGACCCTTCTTCAGACAATGGCTGTGCTAATTAAAAGTGTTCAAGATATTATAGCCAGGAACAGGTCAAACAGGCAAATGTATGCATTGAGTGGTGAGGGCAGATAAAAACATAGAAATTAAGAAAATAGGTCAGGAGTAGGCCATTCAGCCCTTCAAGCCTGTACCACCATTCAGTATCCCATCTCAGTATCCCATTCCTGCCCTCTCCCCATTCCCCTTGATCCCTTTAGCCACACAAGGGCCACATCCAGCTCCCTCTTGAATAATCTAATGAACTGGCCCCAACAGTTTCCTGTGGGAGAGAATTCCACAGGTTCACAACTCTCTGAGTGAAGAAATTCTTCCTCATCTCAGTCTTATTCTTAGACTGACCCCTTGTTCTGGACTTCTCCAACATTGGGAACATTCTTCCTGCATCTAACCTGTCCAGTCCCATCAGGATTTTATATGTTTCTATGAGATCCCCTCTCAAGGAGAGTGAGGAAGAGCCTGAGGGAAGAGAAGGCCTACAATTTTCCCAAATTGAAACCACTGCTGTGAAGCTAACTACCCAGAAGTATTAGGGTGGTTGGTCACAGTACTTGCTCATTGAAATGTGAAGCAGAGAACAAATATCACAGACAAAGTGTTTGAGGAAGTACGTACAGACAAACCAGTTTGCACTTCCTTGACTCTAACTGATATAGACTTTGGAACCTCTCAATTACAAACCAGAATCCATGTCAGTTCAATACCAAGTGTAACAAGCCCAAGTCCTAGAGCTTAGAAAATTGAACTAAATCAAAGCAGTCACAGCTAATTATTCCAGGTCAAATGGTTCAAAGAGACTAGGCATATTGACTAGTGAACAGTTAATGCTATGTCCCAAACTAAGTCGTACCTTGAGTCCTCACAATGTGGATTGTATTGACTGGGAGGGCAATTCAACTTCAAAACAGTAAACTTGATTCATTGCAAGAGGACTGGCAAATCTTCATCGGCAACTGAACATTTGCTATGGTCTATTTTACTTTTATTTCCTTCTGTGAGGTGACAAAGAGAAAACTGAGGTGTAAAGGAATTTTTAATTTCCTATTTAGCAGGGAGGAGCCATGCTACTCATGGATTTATTGGAGCAGGACACTGCTTTGAAACAAAACAAAATGAGTGGTCAGATGATCTCTTTTCATTTCTGCCAACATGCACAATACAGGAGGCTTGAAAATGCTAACAACTTTTCAGAAGATTTAATTGAGAAGATATTGAAACGCAACTAATCATTTCCGGTGGACTCCTGGCTTCCATTGTCCAAACAGAATCTAGTTCACAACACACTTGCAGTTCTCTTGGATTCAGCATATAATGTAGGCATGAAGAAACCATTTCCGTCACCGGAGATGCCTTGAGCTACCCCCAGTGTGGTATTCTGTACAAACATCAATGTTTGAGAGTGAACTGAAGCGATAAGATGTCTCACAGTACATTAAGTTACCAAGCCTCCTCTCCTCAATGTCTCCTTATCTGCACATTGCTCAGATATCAGAAAGGACTTACCGTTTGAGTGGTGTGGGCAGCCTCTTTACCCAGCTTGGTGACAGTCAGTGTGAACAGGTAGGTCACACCTGGCAGCAGGGTGTTTCTGGGAATTGTGACTACAGGCCCAACTGAAATACCAGGATGGATACATGGAGAAGTCAACTGATCCTGGAAACAAGGAGGATATGGATCAATTGGCATTTTTAACACTGAACCAGAAGTCTGCAGTGTCTGTGATTGTTCCGCATCCAAAGTGCCCACACCATGTACCTACAAATAATAAAAGAAGTGTTCCTTTTCATTTCCTGGAGTGTGGAGCACAAGACAGAGACAAGACTTCTCCATTCTTTTAATCTGAAAGCTCCCTCTTCACTGCCCCCCTCAAACATGCTCAGGGCAAGTACAGCGCAGGGTTAGATACAGGGTAAGCTAGAAGTAAATGGAAAGTAAACCGTTCTCGCACTGTCTGCTTTGAATATTCCCAAGGCAGGGGCAGCATCAGGTTTGATACAGACTAACGCTTTCTCTACTCTTTTTAATCTGAAAGTAACCTTAAAGCTCCCTCTGTGCTTTCCCCACCAAGCAATCCCAGGACTGAAACTGCAAAGGGTTACAGATTAAACCTCTTGTAAACTGAAAGTAAAGCTTACTTTACACAGTCCACCTCAAACATTCTTAGAACAGGTCAAGCACAGTGTTAGATACAGATGTTTGGCACAACATTGTGTCCTATAATGTTCTATGTTCTAAAGCTTCCTCTACACTTTCTCCATCAAACACTCCCAGGGCAGGTGCAGCACACTGTTACAGAGTAAAGCTGATTCTGCACTATCACATTCATGAGCCTCTGCTCTAACCCCACTTAATCACTGTAAGTGGGGAATCATTCTGTTTCCCACAGTGGCGGCGCTACGCGTTCCTTGTTAGACTCCATGGAGTTAGTGACGAGGACCATCTTGTGCTGCAGCTCCAATCCCATTAGGATCTCCACAGTTAAGCTGGAAAGTGTGTAAAGACGATTTATGAGGATGTAGCCAGGACTAGTAGGACTGAGTTATAGGGAGAGGTTGGCCAGGATAGGACTTTATTCCTTTGAACATAGAAGATTGAGGGGTGACCTTATTGAGGTGTATAAAATCATGACGGGCATAGATAGGATGAATTTATATAGTCTTTTCCCCAGGGATGGGGAACTGAAAACTAGAGGGCATAGGTTTAAGGTGAGAGAGGAAAGATTTAAAAAGGACCGGAGGGGCAACTTCTTCACTCAGAGAATGGTGCCTATAAGGAATGGGCTGCCAAAGAAAGTGGTTGAGACAGGTGCAATAGCAACATTTAAAAAACATTTGGGCAGGTACATGGCTGGGAAGGGTTTAGAACAAAGAAGAAAGAACAACAAAATTACAGCACAGGAACAGGCCCTTTGGCCCACCAAGCCTGCGCCAATCCAGATCCTCTATCTAAACCTGTTGCCTATTTTCCAAGGGTCTGTATCCCTCTGCTCCCTGCCCATTCATGTATCTGTCTAGATACATCTTAAATGATGCTATCGTGCCGGCCTTTACCACCTCCGCTGGCAACGCGTTCCAGGCACCCACCACCCTCTGCGTAAAGAACTTTTCCCCTCTCACCTTGAAATCATGACCCTTAGAGGGATGTGGGCCAAATGCAGGCAATTGGAACTAGCTGTGTGGGCACCATGGTCATCATGGACTAGTTTGGGCTGAATGGCCTGTTTCCATGCTGTATTACTCTATGACTCTATGAGAACCACAAACAATAACAAAAGCAAGAGCTTTTGTACTGTTACAATTAGGGAAGGAGCTTCCTGGGAACCTCGGCTGTGTTCATTGCACATGCTATCCTATGTGAGAAGCTTTGATGCTTCCTGTGACCTGGGTAACAACACATGGAGTAAATATCACCAACTAGAGAAACTCAAGGTGCTCAATGGCAGCTGCAATCATTATAGGGCAGCCAAGGCAGAGGGAATGTGTTTAACAAGGAAGGGCAAGGTAGGGTCCTGTGAGGGATGTTCTCTGCCCGATATTCAGTTCTAAATTCTGGTTCCTTTGGAGTGTGCAAGGAGTGCCAGGTCCAACGCACCTTGGGTGACTCAGCTGTACAAGGGCTGTGGGAGGAAGAGTGCAAGGCACTGTGACACTAAAGGGAACAGGCAGATGACTCTCTGCCACTGATGTGACTCCAGGATGGCATGTTACCTACTTGGTGTCAGGCTGAAACATATCAATGAGCAGCTGTAGGGCATTCTGGGAGGTGGTGAATAGCAAGACTCCATTTTGGTATTAACAACAGGCAGAAAGAGGGATGAAGTCCAACAAACAAGGTTTGGGGAGTTAGGAGAGAGATTGGAAAATAGGAGAATGTCCAGATTCTGCTTGATGTCACGTGATGTCACGATTACTAGTCCAGTGACACAAACAGTACAACTCCATCTCCCTTATGAAGTGTCACGTGCTCAGGAGTGCAGAAATATGAAGGCAAAGCTGATGAACCCATGGCTGGAGAGATAATGCAGGAAGAAGGGCTTTAAATTCCTGCAACAAAGGGGCTGCTTCTGGGGGAGGCAGAACCTGCTTTATCCTTTGGTGATTTAAAACTGTCTTCCCAAAGCCTGTCCATTATCCACAAGGCACAAGTCAGAAGTGTGGTGGAATATGTCCAGTTGCCTGGATGAGTGCAGCTCCAACAAACTCAAGACGTTTAACACCATCCCGGGCAAAGCAGCCCACTTGATTAGCACCACATCCACAAGCATCCACTCCCTCCACCACTAATGCTCAGTAGCAGCAGTCACCCTACAAGAACTGGAGAAATTCATCAAGGATCCTTAGCCAGCACCATTCAAACCCACGACCACTTCCATCTCAAAGGAAAAGGGCAGCAGATACTTGGGAATACCACAGCCTGCAAGATCCCCTCCAAGCCACTCACATTCCTGGCTTGGAAACATATTCGACAAAAGAAACAGAAATTGCTGGAAAAGCTCAGCAGGTCTGGGAGCATCTGGGCCAGCATTTATTGCCCATCCCCATTGGCCCATGAGAAGGCAATGGTGAGCAGCCTTCTTGAACTGCCATAGTCCATGTGCTGTAGGTTGACACTTAATGCCCTTACAGAGGGAATTCCAGGATTTTGACCCAGCAATAGTGAAGGAACAGCAATATGTTTCCAAGTAAAAACCGAAAATAAAACTGTGGATGCTGTAAATCAGAAATAAAAATAGAAATTGCTGGAAATACTCAGCAGCTCTGGCAGCAGCTGTGGAGAGAAATCGGAGTTAACATTTCAGGTTGAGTGACCCTTCCTCAGAACTGACAGTAGCTCAGAAATTGTCGGTTTATATGCAGAAGATAGGATGGGGGGAGGGAGTAAGGAGTAAATGATAGATGGGGACAGAGCCCAAAGAGAGAGAGAAGAGCAGTTGAACAGACAAAAGAATGGATAACAATCTGGCTAGGAGGGCGAATAGCTGTTAATGGAGACTGGTAGTGGCTAACAATGGGTTGTGTGTAAAAGCAGACTATGTATTAACAAGGCCTGATGTGTGGGGATTGGAATGAGGATATGGGAGAGCACAGGCCTTAAATTTACTGAACTCAAAATCAATATTGAGCCCGGAAGGCTGCAATGTCCCCAGGAGGGACTGTTCTTCCAGCTTGCACTGAGCTTCGCTTCACTGGAGCACTGCTGCAAGCCTGAGACAGAGATGGTGGCCAGGGAACAGGGTGGTGCATTTAAGTATTAAGCAATTGGAAGCTCAGGGTCTTTTTAGCAGACAGAATGTAGGTGTTCTACGAAGTGGTCGCCTTAACAAATTTTAGGCACGACATGACGTTGAACTCTTCTTCCAACGCCTTCGCCTCCGTGCCCATTTCTTTGGGCAAAAGTCCTCTCCCCATCCAACAGGCCCTTTCACTCACCTCCAACACTCTCCCTCTACCTGGACCCTTCTCTCTGGCCTTTTGCCTGCACTCTGACAGTTCTCAATGAACAGTTCAAGGGACATAGGTCATCTCAATTTCTCTGCCCCCCTTACCCATTCCTACCTATCCTCCCAGGAACTGACTGCACTCCCTGCTCTCAGATCCAACCCTGACTTTGTAATTAAGCCTACTGATAGGGGTGGTGCTGTTGTGGTCTGGCGGACCAACCCCTGCATTGTAGAGGCTGAGTGCCAGCTCTCTGATACTTCCTCCTATTTCCCCCAGACCACGACCCCACAATGGGGCATCAGGACATTGTGTCAACTACAGTCACCAAACCCATTTCATCTTAATGACTACCACCCAATGGGTCTGACCTCCATAATCGTGAGATGCTTCGAGAGGCTGGTCATGGCCCACAATAACTCTAGCCTCCCAGACTGCTTCAATCCCCTGCAACTTGCTTACTGACATAAAAGGTTTACAGCGGAGCCCATTTCCCTAGGCCTGCACTCATCCCTGTAACACATTCAACACCATAAACCCCTCCAGACTGATCTCAAAACTCCAAAACCCAGTTGGCCTCTGCAACTGGATCCTCAGCCTCCTGGCCCATAGGCGGCAATCAGCAAAGATAGACAATAACTCTCAACACTGTCCTCAGTCCCCTACTGTGCTCCCTGTACACCCACAACTGTGTTGTCAAATTCCGAATGAACACCATCTACACAAGTCTGCTGATGACACCACCATGGTAGGACAGATATCAAACAACGATAAGTCAGAATACAGAAAGGAGATAGAGAGCTTGGTACCGTGGTGCAATGATAACAACCTCTCTCTCAATGTCAGCAAAACCAAAAAAACTGATCATTGACTTCAGGAAGAAAGGAGGAGAACACACCCCCATCGACATCAAAGAGCAGAGCTTGAGAGGGTTGAGAGTGCCAAGTTCCTAGGACTGCCAATAACCAACAACTTGTCCTGGACTTCCCACATAGATGCAATGGTCAAGAAGGCACAACAATGCTGCTTCTTCCCCAGGCCGCTCCGGAAATTCAGCACGTCCATAAGGACCCTCACTAACTTTTGCAGACACATCATGGAAATCATACTATCTGGGTGCATAATGGCCTGGTACAGCAACTGCTCTGGCTGGGACCGTAATAAACTACAGAAGGTAGTGTACACAGCCGAGACCATCACAGAAGCCAACCTCCC